TCCTGATTTTTTTTTATTATCAAAGGAAAACTTGCACACAATAATAAAAAAATAATAATAATTTTTTAAATTTAGTGTGTTTTGTTACTAACATAACATATCACCAAAGAACAACCCAAAATAAATTTTCCAGCTCTTGACGATTGCAGCAATACCTTATATGTGTATGTTATTTGTACCCACACTACAGCCCAGAAACAATAGTGCACATTTTGTTTTTCACCTAAAACACACTAACAACAATTTTTATTTTAAAAAATCCTGACCTTTGACCCTGACATAACCCTGACACAGACACTTACCCTGGCACTGAACTAGATCAAACCTTTATCTCAGTATTTTTTTTTTTTTTTTTCCTTTCAAACAAACATTTTTTCCCCCCTATATGCCAGGAGTTAGAGAGATACAATGTATCTCTCTCCTCCAATCAGAGAGAGACAAGGCGGCCAGGCTGTACAGTGACTGATCATTGTGATAGGCAATCAGAGGCTATCACAGCAATCATGTGACCAGGAATCAGGGGGTCCCGGGTCCCGATCGTTAGAACAGGACCCGGGGCTCTCAGTAACACCCTGCTCTGTGTGCTGGGGAGCGCGCAGTGCGGCGTGCTCCCAACACAAAGACAGGTGCACAAATATGCAGCCGCATGGTTAAAAGCCCAGTTCTGTGAGGCCGCATATTTGTGTTACATCGGCATTAAGGGGTTAAGGAATGGAGGAAAGATCACCACTCATGTTGTAATGAACCACAGCATATATATACCCACATGTAATAGTGTCTAAGGATCTGGTGAGTGCATGGTTTTAGAGGAGTTGTCACATAGGAAGAGAGACACTGCAGAATAGAGGAGGAGGTGCACTATAGAACTTGCACATCAACACCAGTATTTTGCAGCTTTCCACAAGTTTTATGGAAACATTGTTGGAATTTACTAAAAGAGGATGTGTACTGTAGCACAAGGGAGGAGGTTCACCATAGAAGTCGCACACAAACACCAGTAGTTTGCACCGTTTTATGGGCAGATTCCTGGGCTTTATTGATTTCACTTTGCATACCATAATTTAAGATATTAAACTGAATTTTTAATGTTCTTTGTATTTAAGCACACAAGCACTCTTGGAGTTGTATAGTCATATATTTGATTTTTTATATATAGTCATATATTTGATATTTTGAAATACATATATATATTTTTTTTTACATTATTAAGGAAAAGGTAAGAGTCATAGTGCTGCATGATTATGATTTTTAGACTTTATATCTAAATGGAATTTAATAAAAGGAGGGCCTACCCTGGAGATGGCAACATCTTCTTTAGGGGTTTTTAACCCATTCTGACAAATCATATCATTACTTAGAGGATAGATTGATGTTCCATTTAATTCAGACTAGGAACTGAGTAGGGCATTGGTCTATCAGTAATATACCTAAATGTAAGCACACCTTCAAACCATTTGGTGTTGTGCCTGTTAGGGTAGATTACTGGAGCATCCATGGTGGGGACATACCATTAAGCAATAAAATCCTTTCTTATAAGGGAAACGCTTCATCACATTCTCTGGATAATCCCAGGATGTCACTGGGTGTTTTCAAACTTCTTGGAGTAGGGGTTCTAAATTAAAATTCACGGGGATCCAGTCAGTAAAATTTTCTTCCTGCGGAGGTCTGAGTGCCATGTTGGTGCTTTGACTTTGAAACTTCACATCACAGCCTCCCGTGCACCCCCTATCACAGATCTATCATGACACATCCCCCCATCACTAACCCCCCAATCACAGACCCCTGTATACAGATCCCTCTACAAAGACCCCCAATCACAGACTCCCCCATCACTGACTCCACATCACAGTTCTCCCTCCATTACAGACTCAAGTCCCTTTCATAACATCGCAGCACTACCTCCTTCCTCCCCCCACCCTACACTGTCCTACCTTATTGATACAAGACAGGAAGAAAGGCAGGTCTGGACAAAGGGCAGGACCTTTTAAGTTAAGAAGCAGGTGACTGGTTGCTAGGCAGCGGAGAGGTCCAAGCAATCATTCACCAGCCCTTTGTCCAGATCTGTCATGTTTCCCATCTTGTATGGATAAGGTAGGACAGTGTGGGGTGGGGAGGGGAGGGAAGAGGAAAGAGGAGGAGCTGCGATGCTATGAAAGGGACAAAGCTGCGATTCCTCCCATGTGCCCTTCCTTGAGGATGATAGCAACAGCAGCAAGCAAGTGAGCCGGCGGTGGGCAGAAGACACCCAAGCAATTGCTTGGCGAGGCTGCCATCTGGATAGGACTTTTACTGGGTCCGGAATGCGGATCCGAACCACGGCCCGCCATTTAGTGAAGCCTGTCTTAGAGGAATAGCTTGAACAGTGGGTGGCAAAGAAAGGTTTTAATAACCGTAGAAGCCATAAATTAGACCTGAAACAGCACACCAATCCCATAAATGACTGGCAATATGTACTACATCAATCAAGTGAGAAACAACCTTCTGTAAATCTGAGTAATCTGCAGGTGGCTCAGCCATCACTGAGAAAAAATGTAATCAAACAAAAGTCATGAATGAAGTTATTAGAAAAGAATTTTGTTTTGTAATATGCTGGACACTTTTCTTGTCCTATGATTGTACCTTGACTTTTTTTTTTTTTTTAATTATTACTGGGTGTGTTGGATATAATGGATTTTCCACACAAAAATGTGTGTATTTTAAAGGTTTTTTTGCACATACTTTGTATTTTGTTTTATGCTGGGTGATTTAAATACGGCAGGTGATATATATATATATATATATATATATATATATATATATATATATATATGTGTATATATATATACAGTTGTAAGAAAAAGTATGTGAACCCCTTGGGATTACGTGGAGTTTTGCATGAATTGGGCATAAAATGTGCTCTGAACGTCATCTAAGTCACAACAATAGAAGAACACAGTCTGCTGAACATAATACTACACAAACATTAGATCTTGCCATGGTTTAATTGCACATAACATGTAAACATTCACAGTGCAGGGAGGAAAAAGTATGTGAGGCCCTAGCTTAATGACTTCTCCCAGAGCTAATTGGAGCCAGGAGTGAGCCAACCTTGACTCCAATCGGTGTGATGATATTGGATGTGTTGCTGACAGCTGTCCTGCTCTTAAAAAACACACACCTGTTTTGGGTTTACTGGTTTCAAGAAGCACTGTCTGATGTGAACCATGCTTTGCAGAAAAGAGCTCTCAGAAGACCTACGATCAAGAATTGTTGACTTGCATGAAGCTGGAAAGGGTTACAAAAGTATCTCCAAAAGCCTTGATGTTCATGTGTCCACGGTAAGACAGACTGCCTACAAATTGAGAAAGTTTAGCACTGTTGCTACTCTCCCTAGGCGTGGTCGTCCTGTAAAAATGACTGCAAGAGCACAGCACAGAATGCTGTATGAGATAAAGAAGAATCCCAAAGTGTCAGCTAAAGACCTACAGAAATCTCTGGCACATGCTAACATTTTTGTTGACACATCCACAATAAGGAAAACATTAAACAAGAATGGAGTACATGGGAGGACACCACGGAGGAAGCCATTGCTGTCCAAAAAGAATATTGCAGCACTTTTGAAGTTTGCAAAAGAGCACCTGGATGTTCCACAGCACTACTGGCAAAATATACTGCGGACAGATGAAACCAAGATTGAGTTGTTTGGGAAGAACACACAACACTATGTGTGGAGAAAAAAAAGGCACAGCACACCAACATCAAAACCTCATCCCACTGTAAAACATGGCGGATGGAGCATCATGGTTTGGGGCTGCTTTGCTGCCTCAGGGCCTGGACGGATTGTTGTCATTGATGAGAAAAAATGAATTCCAGAGTTTATCAAGACATTTTGCAGGAAAACGTATGACCATCTGTCCGCCAACTGAAGCTCCGTAGAGGATGGGTGATGCAACAGGACAATGACCCAAAGCATACAAGTAATTCAACAAAACAATGGCTGCAACAGCACAGAATACGCCTTCTGGAGTGGCCCAGTCAGAGTCCTGACCTCAACCCGATTGAAATGCTGTGGCATGACCTTAAGAGAACGATTCACACCAGACATCCCAAGAATATTGCTACACTGAAACAGTTTTGTGGAGAGGAGTGGTCCAAAATTACTCCAGATCGATGTGCAGGTCTGATCTGCAACTACAGGAAACGTTTGGTTGAGGTTATTGCTGCCAAAGGAGGGTCAACCAGTTATTAAGTCCAAAGGTTCACATACTTTTTCCTCCCTGCACTGTGATAGTTTACATGTTATGTGCAATTAAACCATGGCAACATCTAATGTTTGTGTAGCATTATGTTCAGCAGACTGTGTTCTTCTATTGTTGTGACTTAGATGAGGTTCAGAGCACATTTTATGCCCAATTCATGCAAAACTCCACGTAATCCCAAGGGGTTCACATACTTTTTCTTGCAACTGTATATATATATATACACACACACACACAAACACTATATTTTGAAACAGTATTGGGACGCCTACCTTTACACACACATGAACTTAGTCTGTAGGGTTCAATATTGAGTTGGTCCACACTTTGCAGCTATAACAGCTTCAACTCTTCTGGGAAGGCTGTCCACAAGGTTTGGGAATGTTTGACCATTTTCCTAGAAGCAATTTGTGAGGTCAGGCACTGATGTCAGACGGGAAAGCCTGGCTCGCAGTCTCCGCTCTAATTCATCCCAAAGGTGTTCTATCGGGTTGAGGTCAGGACTCTGTGCAGGACAGTCAAGTTCCTCCACCCCAAACTTGCTCATCCATGTCCTTATGGACCTTACTTTGTGCACTGGTGCGCAGTCATGTTGGAACAGAAAGGGACCATCCTCAAACGGTTCCCATAAAGCTGGGAGCATAAAAGTGTCCAAAATGTTTTGGTATGCTGTTTCCTTAAAGAGTTCCTTCACTGGAACTAAGGGGCCAAGCCCAACCACTGAAAATCAACCCCACACCATAATTCCCCCTCCACCAAATTTTACACTTGGCACAATGCTGTCAGGCAAGTACCGTTCTCCTGGCAACTGCTAAACCCAGAAACATCAATCAGATTGCCAGACAGAGAAGTGTGATTCCTCATTCCAGAGAACACGTCTCCACTGCTCTAGAGTCAAGCGGCAGCATGCTTTACACCACTGCATCTGACGCTTTGCATTGCACTTAATGAAGTAGGGCTTGGATGCAGCTGCTTGGCCATGGAAACCCATTCCATTAAGCTACCTATGCACTGTTGTTGTGCTAATCTGAAGGCCACACGAAGTTTGGAGGTCTTTAGCTACTGACTTTGCAGACAGTTGGCAACTTCTGTGCACTGTAAGCTTCAGCACGTGCTGACCCCGCTCTGTCATTTTACGTGGCCTTCCACTTCATTTTGCGGTTGTTCCCAGTTGCTTCCACTTTGTTATAATACCACTAACAGCTGACCGTGGAATATTTTGTAGAAAGGAAATTTCATGGATGGACTTATTGCGCAGGTGGCAACCTATCACGGTAGTACCACGCTTGAATTCACTGAGCTCCTGAGAGCGACCCATTCTTTCAAAAAATGTTTGCAGAAGCAGGCTGCATGCCTAGGTGCTTGATTTTATACACCTGTGGCCATGGAGGTGATTGGAACACCTAAATCCAATTACTTGGAGGGGTGTCCCAATACTTTTGGCAATATAGTTTATATGTTTGTGTGTATATATATATTTGGGTTGTGTGTACTGGAGTGCATTTTCACAATTTTACCTGTGGAGGAGTTTACTATTATTTTATTCTTTATCTTACATAATTTATGGTTCACAAACATATTCACCTTTTACAGATTAGCGTGAAGGGGTTGCATAATTATTATTGTATTGTATTTGTTCTAAAAAGAAAACAGACTAAAGCATCACACTAAAAGTTCTATAACTTCCACAAGGTGGAAAGGTTAATAGAATAAAGAAATGCCAGCTTCTAACTATCAAACAAATTCAAGAGAGACTTGAATTATGGAAAATAATTGTATGTAGAACAGGCAACATTCTTTTTTTCCTCTCTCTCTCTCTTCTTCGTGTTTTTTTTGTTGTCTATCACTCAGATGTTTGGTACACGGCATTAGTGGCAATTGAAAGGAACTAATGAGGAAAAATGACTATGGAGCTAGCAAAAGTAGTGGTCCTTGGAGACCTTGTTACTGTTTGTGATGCACTTCAGGGCAAAGTGAAGCTAATTGGAGTTGCCATACACTGGTTATCAGACTTCACTTTAAAGGCCTGCGTTTCAATCACCTCCAGAGGTGTGAAAGGGAACAGCACCATCAGAGACATTAACCTAGTGCTTGATGAAATTCTAAATTAACATTTGAATGTGTTCTCCAAGTCTCGATTATTTTGCACTCTATCAATTCAAAGTATGCTTGAAGAGGAAAAAAATGGTCAAGTTATATAATTGAAAGACTGATCATGTGAAACAATTGTAAGGCTGGACAAAAGAAACAGTATACAGATGGATATTAAAATAATTTTACTTTGCAACAATAGTAATAAAAAGAAAAGAAAATCAATCAAGCACTCATAAATATTTGTGGAATTTTGTGTAGGGTGTACTCTTCACTAAGCTTTGCTGGATCCTAGTTGGGAACAATGAAATTGAAATACAAGCCAGTGAAGGGTCACATATCTTAACACATGCAGTTTACGGACATTGTGCTAGCACCAGGACAGCACAGCACATTTCAACGGATGTGCCTTCTTCCCTTGTAATGACAGGATTTAGATGTGAAGATATTTCAAGGTATGACTTCTACTGTCTCCACAGGTGAGGTCACAAAACTTTCACAGATCTTTACTATATCATAGAGTAACTGTACAAAATGACATTAGTATACCAGAAATGAGGATTTCACTTTATTCACATGGGCCCCAAAAGGTTCAACATTTGCCAATTGGTTCTTTGAATATGAAAGGTTTTTCTCAACTGACACTGAGTCACACCACTCTGACCCAAACATTATATCAAATGTATAAGCTGCGCCATCCTATTCTCTTCAATGGCTTACTCCAGAGCCTCACCGACTACTTGGAGAAAAAAGTTTTTTTCAAGAACATAGTCCTTTTTAATAAAAAAATGTTATGTTGCACAACATCCTTCAACAGTGATATAATGAAAGTATAAAGCAGCCTTGGCATTTAAAGAACACAAACGTACAACAAATTTCAAAGTTTAATAAGCTTAGTGGCATAATAATGATTCTAAATAGGCACATTAACTTAACAGGGAAATGGAACGATGCAGAATATGGATATACTGTGTACTTTAATAAATGTTTTCATGCCACAGGAAAGACCAACAGCCTACAATTACTGCTGAGTTCTCTAGCCTTGCCAACGCTGTGGGATTACCATTGCAGACTGGTCAAGGTAAAGTGTGCAGTATTACATTTAATTAAGATTAATTTAAAAACTTTACTTTAGCAAATGAAAGATGGTGCAGCCAGATAGCAATAGCAAACCATGGAAATGGAATTGCTGGCAGAGGACATCTCAACTGCTGGATCCAATGTGGACCCAAAGATTTATACTGTATGTGAGAGAAATTAACGTTTCTTAAAGGGAAACTAATCTCCTAAATTTACACTGAGTGCACAATTATTAGGCAAACTGAATTTTTGAGGATTCATTTCATTATTGAACAACTACAATGTTCTTGGTCAATTCAAAATGTTAATAAACCTAAAACCTGAATATTTAAGAAAGTAAAAGTGAAGTTTTGGCTTTCTCAGGAGAATATCTATGTGTGCACAATTATTGGGCAACTATTAGTGTGCAGAACTATTATGCAACTAAATGAAAAACAAAAATTTTCCCATCTCACTTATTTATTTTCATCCATTATAGTGAATATATTAAACAATTCAAAATTTACAAATAAACATTTCTGACAATTCAAAAAAAGAATTTGCTGGCCTATTATCCCGTCACGGTTGCCCCTTTTTGCCAGCGTGCCCGCCGCGGGCACCCGCATACGCCTCCTGGCTTGTTACCTCTTTGGGTTGTCCAAGGCCTTTTCCCTTTTAGCTTGGCCTTTATAGTACACAGTATTACATGCCTCGCTTGAACCCCCCCCTTTTCAACACTCACCCTCCTTTTGTTTTGTCTTTTTGGTTATGCTCTTTACAAGGCGAACCGGCCGGCGGTTGCTTCACTCTTGGCTCAACGCTTACTTCGTTCCCCACACAGTGATCTCTGTGAGCTTTCACTGACCTCATATATTAGGCTACTATTATTAGTTTCCTCTCCTCTACTTTTTCTTTTCTCTCGTTTTCCTTCCCTTTTTTTTTTTTGGCTCTAATCTCTTTCTTCTTCTAACTTTCCTCCCTCTTTCTGTACTCTTCCTTTCATACGTGGACTAGCTGGTCTTCTCCCCGAGCCGTGTAGTACTTTCCCCCCTTTTCTTCTCTCTCTTTTTTTTTCTCTCTTGGGAGTTCTCTTATTTCTTCTCTTTTTTTCACACTCTCTACCTCCTTACTTCTCTCCCTTTTCTCCTACTCCTCCCCCCCCCCTTTTTTTTTTTTTTTTCTCTCCCTGCACGTTTGCAGTTGTGTCATCAGGCTTCCGCGATCAAGCTCTGCAGTCATGCTTTCTCCCGCCTCTAATGCGGGACTGCTGTCCTTAAAAATTCTTTCACTCAATGTTCAGGGTCTGAACACTCCCGAAAAGAGATCTATGTTACTTTCTTACGCGCATAAGCAAAAGGCGGATATACTCCTCCTCCAGGAGACACATTTTCGCCGGGACTCCATACCCAAGCTTTTTAACTTCAGATACCCTACTGTTCTTCATGCCACCAATCCACTGGCTAAATCGAAAGGAGTGGCTATCCTGTTTGCCAGACATCTCCCATTTGTGCTACAGGATTCCCTTGCTGACCCGGAGGGCAGATATCTGTTTGTAAAGGGCTCTTTTTCCAACAGACCCATCACACTTGCCAATATTTATGCTCCCAATACCAAACAGGTCACGTTTATGCGTATGACTGCTGCTACTTTGGCTGAGTTTCAATCGGGTATGCTGATACTGGGGGGGACTTGAATGTCCCATTAAACCCATTGCTAGACTCCTCCTCGGGCAGTTCATTTTTGCCTTTTAAGGCCCTCAGGCAGATACATTTGCAGTTGCAACACTTGCAATTACATGACTCCTGGCGCACACTCCACCCCACTGTTAAGGATTACACGTTCTTTTCTCCGCCGCACAATAAGTATTCTAGGATTGATTACCTTTTTCTGTCACAGTCGGACCTCCCATTTCTACATGCTGCCTTTATAGAGCCGATGGTTCTCTCCGATCATCACCCCATAACCGTAACCTTGCGGCTCCCGGAGAAACTTGCTCGCTCGAAGCTATGGCGCTTAGACGCCTCGCTTCTTGCAGACTGTGCTATTGAACAAGATATTCGCTCTCATCTGCGTGAATATTTCTCTTTAAATGGCTCTTCGGATACCTCCCCCCTCACGCAGTGGGAAGCTCATAAATGTGTTATCCGGGGTTGCCTTATAGCGGCAGCAACGAGACGTAAGAAAGACAGACAGCAACGTTTGAAGCTACTTACAGATAGGATACGCTCTCTGGAGAGGGCACATAAACAGACTCTGGCTGCGTCGACTCTTTCGGAACTCACACAAATGCTCGCTTGCGACTTCTCACTGAGCTGGGCAAAGTGGTCAAGAAAAGATTCATCCTCTCCCAAAAGCTTTATTATGAGTTTGCCAATAAAAGTGGGAGGTTTCTTGCTCGGGCTCTTCGGGAAAAACAATCCCATATGACTATACATAAAATAAGAGGCCCTGACAGTGTGATGGCCACGTCCAATCCTGATATTGCCTCTCAGTTCGAACATTTTTATAAGTCCCTTTATAATCTTCCACCAGAACGTCCCCCGATGCACATTGACAGGCCTAGAGCGTCCCTAATCTCTGAATTTCTTCGTCTTCATGGTCCAAACGCTCTCTCTGAGGAGACGGTTTTATCTCTGGACCAAGATCTGACCTTAAGCAAATTGCAGTGTGCGGTACGGCAGTTGAAAACGGGCAAAAGTCCGGGCCCTGACGGCTTGTCTGCGGCTTATTATAAATCCTTTCTGGACATTCTGAGTACTCCATTTCTTTCCGCTTTCAATACTCTTTCTCAGTCCCCTAGGCCACACCATAGGCTGTTGGAAGCACACATTTCCGTCATCCCCAAAAGCGGTAAAGATACCTCCCAGGTATCTAATTACAGACCCATCTCCCTGCTAAATGTGGATATTAAGTTGTTTGCAAAGATGCTTGCTAACCGACTTCTCCCTTTGCTCCCTTCCCTCATTGACTTGGATCAGGTGGGATTTATCCCTGGTAGAGAAGCTAGGGACAACACTATCAAGGCCCTTAATCTCCAACACTGGCTTTGCAAATCTAACTCTCCGGCCTTCTTCCTTTCATTGGATGCTGAGAAGGCCTTTGACAGGATTGCTTGGGATTATTTGCAGGGATCACTGATGGCTTTGGGCCTGGGCGAGAAAATGCTGAACTTTATTATGACCCTATACTCGGGCCCTACAGCTCAAGT